AAAAAAAAAAAAAAAAAAAAAAACAACAACAACAACAACAAAAAAAACCTGCTCTCTAGCTGTCTGATTCCCCATGGGAAGTGATCGGTGAAGGACAGCCATAGTGGGTTATTCCTGTTTTTGCTGGTACTACCCAGAACTGTCTGTGTGAGACGTAGCTCCCTTGCCAACTCAACATCCGCAAATGGGACATCACCTGTTTAGTAGAAGTGAGTCTTCTACTGGGGCCGTTCTTGAGAAAAGCCCCTTTTTTTCTTGTTCATGACACCTCAGTGCCATGCCAGGTTGTCCTTAGTTTGTGGTCCCTTGAGCCCTGTTTATCTGTTTTCATTTCCCTGAAGGATAGCTGCTGAATCTTGGGGTTATCCCATGGGGTCCCCCAGTGTGAATGTTGTACCCACAACATGGAACATTACTAGTGCCTCTTTCAGATTTGCGGGTGATACATCTGGCGGTTGTGGGACGTGGTACTGAATCTGTACCCAGAAGTTGGTATTTTTTGGGGGGTCGTGGATGATAAAGGAAAGAGTTTGGCCTGTAGGCAGAGAGTTGGAAGGGTACCCGGGCTTCCCCTGTGTTGCTGGCCTGGGCTGCGGCCTGAGTGCTTCCTGAGACAGGCTGGAATTCTTCATGTGCCACCGTTTCCAGAGAGGCTTCTTTAGCAGTGCGTCCAAAGGGAGCACAAATTGGGGATTTCATGTTTCCGGATGTGTCAAGTGGGAGGGGCTGAGGGAGGGTAGGACCCTGGAATAGGCTAGGGTCCCATCTGGTGACTTAGTTTCCCTTCTACCTGGTCAGCGCTTTGAAGTTCTAGATCATGCTCAAGAGAGATGGGAACCTTTAAATGTAACTCTTTCTGTGGTGTTTATTCCTAAAACAATCAGGATCATTGCAGAACATGGAGGAAGAGCAGGCAGGTAGGCAGGTAAGCAGGCAGCAGACAAACACTATGCAAAATGTTATCACCCAGATATGACAGTGGTTAATAACAACGAAAATCGTGGTCATGAACATAGCTAACGATGATTGAACGCTTGCCACATGTTTTACCTTATTTCACTACTCAGAAAACAGTGCTCTGAGAGAACTGCATTCAGCACCCTGTGCTCGTAGACATGTTATCTGAACTGCCCATTCACCTTCTGTCTGTCATCTATCTGCTTTCCATCCATTCTTCATCCATCCCTGCATTTTGCATTCATCATCTACCTGACCATTCATCCACTCCCCCATCTGTCCATCCGTCCATCCATCCATCCGTATATACATCCATGCATTTATCCATCCATTCATGCATATATCCATGCATCCATGTGTGTATTCATGTAACATTTCATTCATCTTTCCTTCCATCCAGTTATCTAGCCTTCCTTCCTTCTTTCCATCCATCTGTCCACCTACCTTCCCTCTACTTATTCTTTCTCTTTTTCCTCTAATTCTTTCTTTCTTCCTTCCCTCCCTCTTTCCCTCCCTCTTTCCCTCCCTCTCTCTTTCCCTCCCTCCCTCTTTCCCTCCCTCTCTCTTTCCCTCCCTCCCCTTTCCCTCCCTCCCTCTTTCCCTCCCTCCCTCTTTCCATCCGTCCCTCTTTCCCTCCCTCCCTCTTTCCCTCTCTCCCTCTTTCCCTCCCTCCCTCTTTCCCTCC